ACTTATATAGTGTTCTGAACGCTATTAAAACTGATAAGTTAATCCTTTTTTTTAATCCTTAATTAATTAAAGAAATTGATGACCGAAGAAAGACTAACTTCACTGACAATGTTATCTATTGAAAAAGATATAGCTTCAAAATTGAACTACGATCATAGGCGCAACTAGGGGAGGCGGGTGCTGTAAGGTCTTTAGTAACCCCCCCAAAAAAACACTAATCAGCTTTTTTATAGTAACGATTAAATATTTTATTCAAATTATATTTCATAATTAATGAGCCGAACAAAATACAGATTCCCTACAAACAATGCACGTGTGTATGAAAAATAATGATAAAATAGTTATAATACATTTTTACTGAATTATTAAAAATTATTTTTTATACGTGTAAACAATTATTATATAAGTGGTAGGTGAGTGTGTACTTGTATATGAGCAGTAATCATTTTTTTAAATTTTATTTTGGTTACACGCTACGGCGTCTAAGTACTTCTACTCCTCCCCCTCAAAAAAAACCCCACATATTTGATTTGTATGCATATAATACGCCCCAGTGTATGCATACATTGGTAATATGCATTTTTAGTAGCTAGTGGTAAGTTATTATAATAATATTTGTGTCACAATATAAAATAAGTGCAATTGCTGTTTGACGTTTGTGAACGGAACGACACGACAATAAAATAACATCAGATTATCTTTCAGAATATAATTTCAGACAAATATCGATCGAATATCGTTACCGTCAACCGTAGATACGATTATTTATGATTTATTACAGCAATGGGTACCTACGTATCTTATTTATTGACAAAATAGCGTACCTGTAATAGTACTTTATAAGCATATTTTGTCTAGATGTTATTTACCAAAAAGTAAAACGGAATCATTTAAAATGGATAGAATGATTGAGTGGTGGGATATAAATTTTAAGGACTCGAGAAACAGTAAAAATGGCAAAAGAGTGTATGTAAAATAAAAATGATTAAGAATAAGCATGGAATTCAAAAAAAGGTACTGAGTGATTTAAAATTAGTCGGAAGAGGATTCGTATGACAAAGCTAAGTGGAGATACATGTTAAAGAAAAGAGAAATGACAAAAACCATAGAAAAATAAAAATAGTAAATATTATGCGATTAGACGGTGTTGCTTCTGGGGAAACGCGAAACCCTCATGTGCTGTCTTCGTATTACAAACTTACACCTATTTTGCATAAATATCTGTATTAATGCACTTTAATTAATTATGTAGATACTCGATGTATCTATTCATATTTTTCGATACATAAATCGTCTTCATAATTCAATAAATCATTACCTACAGTATTATAAACGTGGTGGCTTACTTGAACACACGGGTTATAAAATAATAAAATAACATATAGGATAACAATAAAATGCAAAAATTGCAAAAACTGCTGATTACGAGACCACTTATTCCCATAACCCTATAAATAACTATCGTATAATTTAAATTTAATACAATTTAAAAAAATGTCCACTTACCCCAACAATTATAGGGACAACATCATTTAAAATATCCTCCGCCGACAGACTGTCACCAGCTTTATTGAATTCAAATAACATAATATCCGGCAAGGTTTTTAAACGTTTTTCTAAACAATACAAACAAAATTAACAGTTTATTTTTACAACCACTGCGTAATCAATAAATATTAATGTTGAAACTACGCCAGTGGTGGTCAAATGATTTTGTCATGGAGAGGGAAGGATATTTTGAGAACTAATATTGTTTACACAGTTTTTTTTTTTTTTTTATTACAAAGATATAAGTAAATTTGATCATTGTAATTTAACAAACATAAAAGTATACCCACTTGAATTCTGTCATGCATCCTCTTATAACGATTTGAATTTAGCTATCAGTAAATAAAAAAATCTATAAATTATTAAATGGGATGTGAGGGAGATTTTCAAATTACAACTAATTTGTATTATACGTCGCGCGTCGTTTCAAGAGTCTTGTTATGAAAACGGGACGCGAACACCTATATTCAATATTTAGGCCCGCACAGTTTTAGGATAGGGGTCTGATTGTTGTTATCGATACTTTGAAACAAAATGATCCGAGAACATCTTCTTCAGTCGATGTTAGTTTGGAAATAGAAGCCTCGAAAAATGTAAAAGGTGTATCAGCTTACTGTATTTTAATACATGATCGAATTGTAGAATATATTTCTTACTAGAGAAGTAAGAAAACTTTTATAATAATATTTAAAAATCATAAAATGTTGTATATATAGAATTAAATTAGAAAAACTAATACCTAAAAAGAGCTGATACTGGGGACGAGTGTGGCTATTGTTATGGATGGGTAGTTGAGAAGGCGGGATGCATAAAGCTATTTAATTTTTACCTGTAACAAACGATAAACCATTGATAACGAAAAATGATTCGGAGCGAATTTCGGTTAATGAAATTAACTTCCTGTTAAATTTTCAAATATTTCTGTTAAATCTAACGATTTTATTCCCATAGTACCTAATAAATTAAAATCACGTAAAAACCGCACAAAATTAAAATGTCTATAAATAGCTCGAAAATAGCTTTTGAAAATATTACCACGTCTAGGAAAAACAAATATGAGTTTTCTGTCAAAATTTCAAGTCTCTACGAATATGTTTAACTGAATAACATGAAAAAAAAAAAATTAAAAGAATTATTTGCGTACATTTTCTCATACTTTCTACATATTTTTCGATTTTGTTAAATTATTAAAAAAACTTCAGAGAAAATCATAAAAAGGACTTTCATGGTTACCAAACTAAATTTAAAATTCAACAAAAGAGATCTCTTGACGTTTTTATGGTGAAGCAATATTTATAGTAGAAAACATAAGCCGTAAAAATTTGAAATAATGAAATCGTTGCGCCGTAATATAAAAAAATTTGTATTTTTCGTCTTCTTGGTTTTCCCAATTATTATACAAAAATACTTAAGATATAAACAAACGGCTTTCTTTGACAGTGGCTAACGCCTTTATATTAAACCGAACAAAATCGATATCTTGTCTTTTTTCGGTTGGAGCTACATTTCTGGTAGAAACCATAAGTTGAAAAATTAATAACAATGAAATCGGTAACGCTGCGTTGCGCCGTAAATATTTGCTTTTTTACATATAATTTTCTTTCGAAGTTTTCCTTCAGAAAAAGTACTATACTCTATGTCTCTATACAGCGGAGCGAAATTTCTTTTCGAAAAGTTGTTTACTGACAGAAAAAAAAAATCATACACATTACAGTAAAACCAATAGTACCCTCGTTACTCTCTGAATATAAAAATCGTGTCATTTTGATCAAATAAGATTTTCAAATATTTAAAATGAAAAAAATATAACTACATTTTTATTTTTATTTAAAAAGAAGCCAAATTCATGCTTATCATGTTGAGTTTTGCTGCGCCGTAGAACATACAAATCTACGCTACTTGTAAGTTCTCATTTGATAAACCAGAATTGCTACCGCCACAGGACAAGACGTTGTATTCGAAAATATCATTGTTTTTTTTTACTACGCTTAAATATTCCAAAAATCGGAATTTGAATTTATTCATAATTTAACTATAAAAATACCCCATTTTTTTTTATCACCCCGATCATAGTTATAAAAAAAAAAAAAAAACACCTTACATACTCTAATATTTAAGAAAAATTAGGTAATAGGGAGGCGCGGGGGGTTATATATCCTTTCGTGGTTCGGGATGATTCATACAAACCCGTCGGTTCTTGATATTTACGAACAATACCATAAACACACTGTTCGTGTATATTCGCGATTTGTGACTTATTGGAAATCTCCTTGATCTTTAACATTTACCGCACTCTGGAGCGATAACAGACCGCAAATGGTTCAGAGTCGAGTTTAGGCCAGAAATGTCGGATAGCCCCTACGTGTTATTCACGAATTTCAATATACAGCGAATTGCAAACAACGGATACGTGCACATTATGGACAGTCATGTAAATATTGAGTTTTTTACGTTTGTGTGTAACCCAAGTAAAGTGCTCTAGGTTCCGCGTTCCGTCTTTCCGTATTGTTGTTGCCCGCCATCCGTGACCGCGTGCATTACCGTTTGCAATGTTATAATAATGTTTTGGAACATACACTCTTTGATTCACGAGCCTTTTGGCTACGTTTAACTTCTGAAGTGATAGTCGTGTTGTTGACACTTTTTCGCAGTAAAAAGCGCCTTATGGCCCTACAGCCATTACGGTTTCTAAGTAATCGAGTATACCAGCTGGACATAATAAATAATAAAATATCATCTGTGGCTCTTGTATGCGTAACGCGTATGCCACCGTAATCGGCTCTAAATACAATCGTTTTCGTTTTGTACCTAATTGTTGTGGTCCAACCCGAATAGGTAGTCGACAATTTTTTTTTTTTTAAATCGCGTATCGAGTCCACAGAATTTAGCGAGGAAAATGGCCGACTAGTTTGCACGCGTAATCCAACTTTGAGTACCTACACTTGATACATTTTACACCAATATTTATTACGCCTATATACCTAATATGTTTGTTACCTACATAAATTAGCTACACCAGGCCCGGTTCAAGGGGTATGCGACATGGATCCATACCTAGAACGGCATTTTTCAAAGGTGGCATTTAAAATTGTTGACATTCTATAAACAGTGCCAGAACTTTAGTTTATTTAGACGAGTTTAAACGCTCCAGCTGGGCCTGCGCTACCAATGTTCGTGTATTATCATTCCGAGAGCGATAGGTACGTATTGTTATCAATAATATTATACTGCTGTGAATTTTTATATTTGTATATTTATTTTTTGTCGAATTATCCATTTACATCGGAAATAGGTACATATAATAGTTATGTTTAAAACAATAACTTTTATAAATTACTCATATCTATTTCTATTTTAAATGCGCACTGAGTATTCAATAATATGTCATAAAATTACAGTCATACGAATAAATAATTAAGAAATAGGTATCTTATATGAATAAAAAAGTATAGGTCAAAAAAATTAAAATATAAGTAGGTAAGTAGTTTACTAATAGGTAATAATAATATTCAAGGCTAGATATTAACGAGTTAAAAAGTTGGTAATTAGTTTTAACTTTTACATAGTAGAACACAAATTTACTATGAATGGTTTATTTAAGTAGGTAGGTTAAGTTAGGTAAAATGGTTCAACACATTTAATAAAAAATAAAATTAATCGTTTATTTATTAAACAATAAATTACTGAAATTATAATTTGTCAAAAATCGAGAAAGTACGATCCCGGTAAATAGTAACACCGGCTTCTGAATAAGATTTTAGAAAGCTAGGATTTTTAAGATACAAAAAACATACCTACTCATCCAGTGGCAGATTTATAGGGGTCCCTCATAAATACCTCTACACTTTACACTTAAACACCTATACCAATTTCAATACTATAGACACTGTTTTAGATTCTGAGTAGAGTGTGAGGAATGTATTGGTTTTACAAAGTTTATTTTTTTATCTTATAGACAATTGTAAATCAGAACAAAATAGCTGGTAGAAAAGTCAACTTTGAATTTTACTGGGGTGATAGTTTAGCAGTCATTTTTTGATTTTCCCAATAAATGGGAAAATAGTTTCAATATTTAAAAAATATTATTAAAGAAAATATATAATGCATTTGTAATTACTTTACGATAATATGACACTTATATTACCTATATACATTTATATTATTGACAAAGCTACACTATCAACCGAACTTTGCTTAGAATAGTTTTTTCATTAGTAATAGTTATTTGTTACATACAAATATATGTAATTTCACCTTTATCTTCCTAACTTTGCTATAAATGCCCACCGTGTAAAGTATGTCAGTCTTTTTATTTTTTTATAATTTACATATAATAATGTGAAAAACTTTGACTCTGTTCCCCCTAAAAAATCTGAAATCCCTTACTGAGTATCTTATTTTATAAAATAGGTACCTATTAAGATTTATAAGATACTGAAATTTGAATAATTTATTTAATTAATGTAATAATTGCCAATTAAATGTCATTTTACATAATGTATCGTTATTTATGTAACATTATTACTTATTTGTTCCATGTTCAAATAAAATCTGTCCTAATTTATAATATAATTTATTTATAAAAATGGTACCTATCAAACTAACAATATTAAATTTCATCACGTATAGGAAGGTACCTAAGTATGTTTAAAGGTGTATACAAAATTGATTATTTTATTGCTAATAAGAATGTTTTGGCTCATTTTGACTATGCCTAGTTTACTTACAAATAGGTAGGCGGTTATAATCTCCTCCTCTTAATAAAATACAAATTTATTTTTATTTTATTTAAGTATCTACCCATAAATATTTATCCAATTGTTGAATTTTTCATAAAACTCTGAGTAAGTACCTATGTATTTACTGTTGTTTCCAAAGTAGGATTACAATTTTTATTCTTAATTACTGTGAATATTTATATATCTAATATACTTAATAGAAATAGAAGACATAAAACACAAATGTTTATGTTAGTATTAAAATTAAAATCATTTTATGTATATATATATATATATATATACACACGAGGGCTAATCAAAAAGTATCAAGACTAGTAGTATCATTCGGAAAAAGGAGCATCGAAGAGCAGTAGGATTGGTATCACTTGCTTCTATGACTTTTTCTGAGTACATTTGTTTTTATTGCTTCTCTATAAAATTCTTCGGTTTGATTTCACTGATATTTTTCAAGTTTGGCGATTTTGTAATAAACTCAAAAGAAGAGTAACTTGACAGATTTGGAGATTTTATAAAATTTGTCTGCATTTTTTTCCAGTTTCAGAGAGATGCAACATTTCATGGTTTTTGCCATTAAATGTCAATTGAAAAACTGAAAATGTGCCCTCGAGTTCCGCTTCTTTTGGATTCATTACGAAATCGCCAAAACGTGAAAAACTAATTTTAGAAAAATATCGTCAAATCAAAACGAAGAAGTTTATAGAGATTTTATACGAATAGATGTGCTCAGTAAAAGTCATAAGTTTACAAATCGTTTTGCTCTTCAACGCTCGGTTTCCGAGTAATATTATCAGTCTCGATACTTTTTGATTAGCCCTCGTATATATATAAAAATAATTATTTATCGTAAATAATAAATCAATTAGCCACTCAACAAAAATTAATACACTACAAAACTGACAATTTAGTATACACTTTAAATTAATAAATAACACATTTTAAGTTCTTATTTCACTAATGAATCTATACAGCTTTCAGGTAGGTTAACCCTTATTTTAAAATCTAATAAGTATTTTAAATAATCACTAGGTACCTGTATAATATATATGTATTATTTTTTTTCTTAGTTTGATAATTGTTGTACATTGTTAGATTGTAAATTATTCCATATTTGCAATGTAAGTAGATTAATACTTCAAACAATTAATCAAATTATCATGCTTATATTCAAGATTTCACTTGTCGCACAGATGCAATGGTATTTCATTTTGCTTTTTTAGTAATTCTTGGTTAAATGGTAATTTTTTTGAAGTAATTTATTTACAAGTATACTTGCATTCTTTTTGGTTGAAGTTTGAGCTATAATACATAATATATTTATCAATTTAGTATTCAAATTATATAAGTAGTTAATTTAGCAAGCTAATCCAGAATTGAAGTTAAATTTACATTAAATCAAACTCTGTATCACTACCACATTCAATCAACATATATAGTTAGAATTTGCAAAAATAAGGCTTGCTGATGTTATAAGTTATAGAGAAAACTGAAAAATAAAATTTAACTAGCTTGGATATAATATTATTGGATAATATATGAAATTCAAAATAATTTTTCAGCCATTTTGGCAAAATATACAATTTTTAGGTCATCAAAATCCAGAAACCAACTGTCACCAATAATTTAGCAAAGTTCTTAAATTATGAAATAAACCAAGTTGTAACTTTTATTCCAACTACTCAAGCTACTTATTTTGACCTAAACCTGTATTTAATTAAAAATTGTATAAATTAACTTCTAGTCAAACTAGCTAAATAAAATGTCCAGCTTTGAAACATAATAAAATTATTCATAAACATTTTTTAGAATATGCATTGTATAATGATATTGCTTTATAAGTTACTAGTCACTATAGGATTCAAGAATTATAGAATTTAGAATACAACAGTGTTATAAAAAAAAAATATTTATTTGATAAAACTGTATGTTTATAATAAATATGGTTCTGGGAACTCAAAAGTTACTTCCCTACCAGTAAGTTTTCGGTATACAGAAGCAAACGTATCCACCTGTAACAATATAAATAAAATAGTATTCAGTATATTATACAATTTGGTTAGGATACTATTGATTTTTTGATATAAAAATTCTTAGAAAGTTCAGAAATTGTGCTAAGCTAATATATATATACGAGAAATTATATCTCTCATATTATACTTAATTATATTTAAGAGCTAATAGCTTTTACATTAAATTTTATTAATCATTTTTGTAATAATTTAAATAGTTACAGATTTATTAAGTAGTATTAAAAGAAATATCAACAATTTAAAAACAAAATGTTAAACATCAACAAATATAAAATCAGTAAAATGTTTACTGAATTCAGTAAATATTGACATACATTAATATATGTCCGCTTAGACGCTAATTGTACCATTTTTATTCATACATTAGTAACACGCAGACTAATTTATTCATAATACATAGTACTAAAATTCGTGTTTGGGGTTTTCTTTAAATCATACATACTAAAACTGATGTAGAACAAAAAAATTTAAAAATACTTCCAATTACTACACAATATCATAAAAATGAAAATTTCAGACAGTTGAGATCAACTGCACAAGTAGTATTAAAATATAATGTTATATACTTTAATAAAACTTTGAATATTTGGTATTAACCATATATATAATTAATTCATTTCATAAATTTTTTTTTTTTTATTACCCTAGAACACGACAGTTAAAATTCATTAAAAAAAAAAAAAAAATGTACATTAAAAATAAATAAATCTTACAAAAGCTGTTGAGATCAATATTATTCCTGACAGTTTCACTTTAGCACATGGATAGAACCCGACAGTTATGAAACACTGTAAAGAGCGCTGTAGTGCATTTAAATTATCTTTAATATTTATTCAAATACGATACTGATTATGTTATAATAAAATGTATGTTAAAACAAATAAATCTAACAAAAGGTGTCAAGATCAATATTTTTCCTAATAGTTTTAATTTAGCACATGGATAGAACTCGACAGTTATGAAACACTGTAAAGAGCGCTGTAGTGCATTTAAATTTTCTTTAATATTTATTTAAATACAATACTGAAGTTATAATAAAATGTATGTTAAAAATAAATAAATCAAACAAAAAGTGTAGATTTTTTTTTTCCCCTAACAGTTTTATTTAGCACATGGATAGAACCCGACAGTTATTAAACACTGTAAAGAGCGCTGTAGTGCATTTTAAAATAAACAATAGTTTAAATTAATAGTTAATAAATAATTTTAGAAAATATTAGAATAATCACTTTAAGATTCAAAAGAACAGAATCTGTTAATTGTTGAAATATAATTTCATATAAATTACACAAAAACCAAAAATTGATAACTTAGAAAAGAACAGGAAAATTGATAAAAATAATGTTTTTAATTTAAACTTATTATTTTATAATTCAGTTAATTATTTTGTAGACTTGAAAATTTGATACCCGACTTATATTCATCTTTCCCAGACATGGTAAAATTTTCAAAACATTTAAGCCATTAAGACATTTCAATTTTTAGTCATTTCTATTTGGTAGGTACTTTGTGGATATAATTTTAGACTTAACAGGTTTATTACAAGGCATAATAAGTGGTAAAAAAAATAATAAGTAATTTGATTTTTATAGGTATCAAATACAGAATTATCATCATTACATAGCCATTGGGTTAAATCAAATTTTTTTTTTAAATAAGAATTTTGTATCAATTTTTTTTAGCAATGGTTTATCATTGCTTACAGGTATAAATTAATTAACTAGCTTATCTTCTCAACTTCTCACTTACAAGAATGGTACAACCATCCATAGTATCATCATTTTTGTATTAAGTTATACAAGAATTTTAAAAACAAATATTATCAATATTAATTATACCTTGTGTTCGATATTTGTTTGTTGAGTTTTATCCAAATGAACTTTCATAATTTGCTTTCCATCTAATTTCACTCTGATACGTTTACCCACGATTTCAGCAGGGAAAACTAAATCATCGAGAATAGCATCGTAAACCCAAGTCAATGTGCGGCTAAAAAAAATAAATATGAATAATAAGTACAAATAATTTGATTAAATGAAATTACTATATCAACAATAATATGTTTTGTTGAGATTACGAAAAAAAAAAAAATCAACAATGAGATCTTATAATTTTTGTTAACATAACAATCGTAATCACTTTTAATGTATGTCCGCTTAGACGCTATATGTATAAATTGAATATACATTAGTAACACGCAGACTATTTAATAAAAATATAAAATATTAAAGTTTGTGGATAATATACCTTCTTGGTCGTTTTTGCTTGCTCTTTGTTCTTGTTTTCCTAGTTGGTTTCGGTAAAATTTTCCTATCACCAATGAATACTACATGTTTGCCACTGAATTTTTTCTCAAGTTCTCTAACCAAACGTGCTTGGATTTTTTGGAACTGAGCTCTCTGTGGCATAGGCACATAGATAATAACGCTCTATAATAACAGAAAAAAAAAAAAAAAATAAGTACATGATTTAAATTTTAAATAAGATTTATTTTTATTTTTTTGACAATGTACAGCTATTATAGATTAAATCTGTTGTTAAAATAAAACATACTACAGATATCAAAAACTACATATTTTAATTTGGCATCAGTGTGGACCATTGTGATCGAAAACGAGAACACAACGAATTTGATGATGCGTAATACATACTTATTTAATAATTAAACATTCTAACACCATGAGAAAATTTACTCACATGTACTACAGTTATCTTTGATCTACCTACAATAGGAAACGTAATAAAAATATTAAGCGATCCTAAATGTTAAAATTACATAGAAACAGATTGAATAATATCAAAAGAATATCACCTATAAAGGCAAAAGTGCAAAATATCAGAAATGTATAAAAGTCTAATTTAATTTATATTCAGTAAGTTATTGAACTTCATCTATTATAAGGCTATTATTTTTATAAATGCTATACCTAGTACCCAAGTTAAAAACTTAATTGATAATATTATAAGTTTAAAATAAACTTACACTAATTGCATTTTAACATGATCTAACTGCATTACAATACACTTATCATCAGCCGTAAAATTTTAGACACCCGCAGATTTGTCTTCATTGTCTAGCAGCGCCTCGACCTTTGCGTTTATTCTGCAAGTAAATACAATTTATAAAACAAGCTGTTAATGGTTGGCAAACGCAAAAATCTTAACGCTGCCAGTAAATTGATGAAAACAAAATGTAAATACCAGAAAAGAAAAGACAACAAAAAGTATTATTTTAGTTTTTCAATTAAAATTTGTTGGCGATTGAATGAATCAACATTTTTATTTTAACCGGGAGAATTATAATCTTCAGATAGGTATTTAATTATCAATTTCAACAATTTTACCTATATATTGGTAGGTAAGAAATTCAACAAGACTTCTCCTATTTACGTTTTAAAAACTATGAATTAGATACAAAACAAAAAATAATAACCGAATGAGATTGATTTTTTGGAAACATTTGTGTTTATTCAGTTTTTGAAGTCCTTTCCTTCTTTATCTTACATAACGACGTTTAGAACACACACGCTTACCTTTTTGCCGAACAGCTCGATTTCTTTAGCCTTAGTGATGTACAGCTCACGGAGTTGGGCTTTCAGATCACTGTTGTTCTGCAATTCCAAAAGAGCCTGAGCGATGGACATCTCGAACTGATCGGGTTCCGCGGTTCCCTTTTTCACGATTTTTGACTGCGCGGTAGCGGTCGTCATCTATGTGAAAAATAAAACATGTTAGCATTCAATTTTTATCCGATCGAATCCGGCGGACGGCCGATGGGAAACTGTGATTGAATAGACATAATCATCGGCTATAACATGTTACGTGATAAATACATACCTTGGCGGACGGTCCGTGCACAGATGAAAATTGTAAACGATAATAGAATGGACGTAAATAAGAAGCGAAATGGACGAGCGACCGGCGGGAAAGAATGAAGCAAAAGGAGAAATGGACATCACACGTTTTCGTGTTGACTGTTGTCTACGATGGGTCGACGTCCGCGGTACCATGCGTGCCACCACAGCAACAATCTATGGTGCACACGGCGTATACAGATTGATCACGGCCAGTGTGGCCAACGTGCGGCGGTAAATTCGCGGATAGAGTCGTTCAAATATTCAATCATGCTAGAATATTCATCCACAATCTTTAACTAGTTTATGTGCTATGTAAAGTTGTTCTGCATCGTGTATGGTGCAATGTAAGATAATTAACTTGTACGAATTGTACCACACTTGCGTATCGCAATACCTACGTGATTTGTGTGACACGTAAAAATATATCTTAAACTTTTACCTGTTGTCATTTTTATTTACATTATGAGAGTAAAGCGGCCCCTACACGATCAATAATAATGAAATATTGTGTCAATATTTTGTACAATATTAATTTCCCCTAATCATTTCAATATTGCCCAATATTCATTGGCCAAGTCGTTTATCATATGTTTTTAAGATGCCAGTTTACCATCAGTACTCTATTTTATAAAGCCTCATTGTTTTAAAAATGATTACGAATTTTTTTGCATCGCGATAACATTTTAACTCAACCAACAAAAATATATTATCGATGTAAAATCTGAAAATATAAAATCTCGTCACGAGCACAGTTAAAGATGTTAAACCGACGAATCGTTGTCACAAGACAAGACGTGGGTACCTACCTAGAATTTTATCACTGCTTGTATATTTAAATTGCGTTTTGGGAAAAGAATCAAATATTAGAAATGTTCAAATGTGTGTACCTACACTTGTATTGCATCTGAATTTGACAGCCACAATGTGTCTTTAGTATTCCAGAATACTTGATAAGAAAACGACAATCAATAAAATTGCGCTATAGCGATAATTGTCAGATTATTACTAAATCTCGATCGAAATATAGACGTTTATAGTATAATAATATAATGTATAAATAATATAGATTTTGCCAACCCTTGGCATATATCCACGACCAGCGTCCGCGGCAAATTGGCTGGAAACATTGAGCAATTATTACTACGGTTGGGAATAGTTGGTCTAAATGACAAACGTAATATGATAATTTTAATCGTATCAGGCGTTATTTTCAGTCGATGTATCGTTATCGATGACGTAAACTGGCAATATCGATATTTCGATGTATCGAAATTACGACGACTTTTGCCGTCCCTTCTCATAAGTAATACATTGCAGCTGCCCGAGCGACAAATAGATAATGTGACCAGCACAAATAACTACGTTTTAATCTAATATGTCCTTGCCTCATCAGTGTTACAAGATTGATTAGTAAACTGAGGCGTTTTGTTATTATTTATTATCAACCTTTTTTTATTTTGTTTAATGACAATATGTACTATTCTACTAACTTGTATAAGTTATTAATTAATTAGCTTATAAACTAACGCTATTCATAAAACAATAAATTATAATTCTATGTTTAACATATAAGATAAGATTTTATTTAAAAAATATTGTTGAACCTACCCGACGCAAATATCATATTTTGATTTTAAGAAAGAAAATACTACCTAGGTCAAAAATGAAACTAGCTATTGTTAATAATTATAAATATGTACCTACATAATGTAGTTAAACAAATTAATAATGCTAGATATGTAAAGAAATTGCACAAAAAAATCAAAATCTACAAAATATTTTGCTAAATACAAATTATGTTAAATTAATGTTGGTCATTTTTTTTCCCTCAGTTTGTGACACATTCTTTTATCTAAATATTTTTGAATTATAAAATTAGTAATTTGATCTTTATAGGTATCAAATATAGAATAATCATCATAACATCCAACACACAAACAAATTAATTTTTATTTGAAGAAAAAAGGCTATAATATGTTTAGCTAATTTTTACATTTCTTACATTTTTCATTTTTTTTTTTTTCGGTTTTTTATATTTATTGGGACAACTCCGGAGAAAATCTAAAAACAACCTTAAGGCACCTTGTGATTTATGAGAGATAATTAAAATACTCGATTGTAATTTGTAAAAACCATTCAGCTTTTACTTTTAGTTTTCATTACAAATTAAAGTTCTAAGTTTGTATTTTGAGGTTTCATACTGGAAGCTATACTTAGTTGATATAATTCTGAATCTACTATTGGCGATATCCTATATTAAATTACATTGGCCTAAATAAATAGTGAATATTTATTTGTTATTACTTTATTTGCTATTTGCATAATATAGGTACAAAATGGCTGATATATCCTAATTCTGAAAGGGGGGATTTAAAGTCCACAGTATATAATGTCCTGTGTATTAATTTAATTTACATTATAGGTAATAATATACAGTAGTGACAAAAATTCCATGGGGGAGGCAATTCATCAATCACCCCCCTTGATATCTTTTACTAGAAATGGACAACGTGAGGTCTAATAACCCTAAAAAACCATTGTCATTTTTTAAAATTGTATTGTTCATCTCGAGTATAGAACATTTATAATAAATGACTCAAACAGAATATTCTTAATTTACCAACATATAAGAATTATTGACGAACATAAAAATGTGTTAAAGGTATTTATATTCTCAATAAATACATAAAGGCTTTGTGTATAATAACAATTATATCTGTTGTGTAGAAAACTGAATTGAACTGTACTCTTCATTATTTAATTTATCCACCTCCAATACAAAAATGCTGTAAAGTTCTTGAATTTTGTTAGCAATACTTTCTGTGGGTGGTGTTGTAAATCTAAAATTAACTGTACATTTTCATGCAAATTTCATTGTTTTAAATTGGTTTAGTGAAATTAGTTTAAGAGTTAATACAATATGATTATTGATAAGAAATTTGCTCATGTAAATAAAACATTCATAGAAAATATTTAACACACACAAAAAATGGGTTGCCTATTTAGTATTAATTTTATCAAAACAAAACTATGTCAGCATTTTATTTTAGTACTATGGTAATTTTAGTATATTTTATTTATTTCAGTGATAGCAACAACTGATTAATTGAGGTAGTTGTATTCCATAATATTATTATTACAATACCCGCTGTTATACCTATCTTATATCATTAATTTTACTACATATATTTTACCAAACATTCTTAAAATACTTAATTCCATAACTTTTTTGTCTGCTGTGTATACATTTTATAACAAATGAATTAGAAAATCGAAAACACAAGAGATGCAAATGGCTGGCGTCAACTAAACCTGAATGGTGGAGGTCAACTAAACCAGTATCGTTAATTTTTTTATGGTCGACATAATGGCTAATTAATATTACTGTACAGATATTTAACCAAAAACAGTTGTATTTTTAAAATGCATGGTCAATATTGCTGTTTGTACTATTTAAATATCTAAATGTATGATTTAATGGTTATGACATTATCTAATTTGTTTATTAGTAGATTAAAATAATTCATGTACATTGATAGGTACTGTACAATTATTAACATTCAATGATTTATATGTAATGTTTTTTTTCAATTATGGTGTTGTGTATTAATTTATAATATTATAATAAAAATATATTTTAATTAATATATTATTATTTATATAATTTGATTTAGGTATCAACAATTTGTCCAAGGTAAGTTATGATATTCACAGGTATTTGGTTTTAAGTATTAAACTATTCTGTTTTTGTTATTTTTTATTTTTAAATTACTGTCTTATTACATTCATTATTATTAGATAAATTAAATTTAAAATAATAATTTCATAGTGGTTGTAGCTTAGCTAGTGAAAATTAGCTAGGTTTGTTCATTTTTACAAAAGTTAATATTATATACTGTTTTAAATAATTTATGTAATAAAGTTTCTTAAATCATGTAGTAATTTGCAGTGTTAATTACATATAATTATTTCAAGACTACAGTTATGTGGTAAGTAAATTGTTTACAGTTGTTTTATTCAGTAATTGTACCTTCATTTGGTATTGTAAATTATGGCACAAAAACATAATTGTGTTTAATCTGAAGAAAAAAAGAGTAGGGACCTACCAGGCAAAGGATAAAATCAAAATAAATGTAATTACATGTTTATGAGAATATCTCAATTCATACTACAACTATAAAACTTAATTTAATAAAAAAATGTATGTACAAAATTAGAATAGGTACAAACTATAATTCTTCATTTTTGAATTTGCCTCGCCAAGATTTAGGCAACGGTACAACTGATGGACATGGAACTTGCCCCAAAATTTCACACATGCAATGTTTTTCACACATATATCCAAAGTTTGCAGGGTTATCTTTTTTTTCTCTAGCCATTGCTTCCATTTCAAGTGTTTCTTTTGGTTTTCCAAGAACTTCTAAGATATGGTCATGAATTCGATCTTTATCACGATTATCAACATCAATCAACATATCTTTGCCATCATTCATGTAACATCTAAAAAATATTTATATCAATATTGTTTAACATTTTGTTTAAAATGAAAGAGTACTGACCTGATGAACGGCGTTGGTGTCATATTTTTAAGAGTTAAAACTTGTACATCGGGATTTTTGAATTGAATTTGTGGTAGATGCCAAAATACAAATTCTCTAGTGCCATGATGATTCTCACCCAGAGTATTGTAGTGAACGGAAAATATTTTTATTCGATCTTTAAACACAATTTTACCTGCATCCAAATATTGCATGGTTCTCCGAATCGGAGCAGCACCTTTCATGAACGGCATGATTTTTAAATAAGTTTATTTTTTTCTAGAATTAAATATAGGTAAATGTGGTACAATTAATATTCTAAATTAAAAATAATATTTATTATTTATCAAATAACTTCACGAATCGTGATTTTATTTGAAAAGCACACAAAATCTTATCATTTATCAGAAGTGTAGGACATATTATCAAAAAAAGAAATATTTATCATGTTATCAACCAGTCCAAGATGGCCAACATCGCGGTAACGGTATACGGTAACCGGTGTATATTACTGTATATTATTAAATTATTTTACGGCAAATGTTATAAATAATAATTTCGTATTTCCGTCTTACCGAGTTTAAACGAAACTGGAAAAATATCGAAAACGAGTACTCATAATCAGAACCGCCCGTTTTATTTTCCGTATTAGTTGATAAATCCGTTGTCGAGTGTAATAATATGGTGATTCGTTTTTATTTCGTTATACGCATTTTATTGTTATTAAAAATATTTTATTTCCGTACCCACCGTCGCGAAACACGCAAACACTTTACGGACTCTGCACACAATTCGTGGATTGTTCGCGAAAATCTGACATAATAGGAACACCGAACAAAATACGTAATAATAATACAATATCTACCGGCTACAGACATGGAGAAAATCCACGAATGGTCCGCGCGAGGTAAGAACTCGATACCAGTTATTATTATTTACATATTAATATTATTTTATTTATACGAGTGTCGGGTACGTACCTTTCTCAATAGGTGTAGCGTGAAAATTCACCGTTTTCAAATCGTCAACCGTGTAATGGGTGCCTAGTATAAACGTCATGCCAAATTTACAGGACGCGCTGTATATACCTATGGGTTATTTGTTTAGGCGGTAAAATAGGTTGGGTAGGTAGGCAGGTACCTCGTAGTATACCTACGTGTATTGATACCCAAACGATTTTTTAACTAGATAATAGACATGGGAGTTACTCGTTTCCGCCAAAAATGTACCTTTCCTTTTTCCGCCGATTCTCGTTTCCGCCAAATCGTAAAATCGGTCGATTCCCCTTTCCGCCAAAATTAAAATATTTTGTCTGATATTTGAATGTTAATGGGCGATTGTATTATAAATAGTTATTATTGTATTATGCAAAAAATGTATAATAATTGTAATAAAAAAATAATAATACTAATAAGTTTAAACTTATACAATAATAAAAAAAGTGATTATATTTTTGACATTTTTTTGTGTAAACAATTGCGGCAAGACAAACGTTATGAATATTGACAGCTATTTTTACCTTGTATTCAATAAATAATAAACACAATTTTCATCATACATAAAAAGAAATAACTTTATAATTTTGAATTGATTTTTTTGTCTAATTAATAATTGTAATGTATGCAATTGCCCATTAATATTCAAATACTAGAATAATATTTTTAATTTTGCGGAAAAGGGAAAGGTACGTTTTTGACAGAAACCGGCCATGCCCAATAGACATTAGTAAAAACAAAGCTATTATAGATTCTGAACGTACCGAGGAATGTTTTGGTATTATTATGTTTATTTTTTTATTTTTATCTGTAAACCACTTTTCTACCTGAAAATATATTACTCTGAATTTTAAGCGTATAGCATCTTTTTTGAAAGTGAATTTTGCAGAGTGTAAATCACCAGTGAGTATTATGTACACCTGATTCCATAAAACCACTGGTAATCCTTTAAGATTACCAACAATTTTCTATTGGATTATCAAAGATGGCCGTGATTTCCAAGCGTATTTGTACACCGTATTCCGTTAGTGATTTACCCTCAGGAATTTTGTCTAGTTAGTGCTTTGGGACGTCATTTTTTTTTTCTTGATTTCCTTTACGGCTTTCTTAAAAATTGCGAAAATCCGGGAAAAATGGAAAAGTTTACGGCAATACCGAATTCGTTATTTTCGATTGTATTTTTTTTTTCTGTTGTTATTCGGTTAAAAATAACCGTAGTAACTTGCAATTTTCATAGAGTACTTATATTAGCCTTTTACAGACGTAGTCTATTTTTCGAACTATTTGTAGGTATTTTAAATTTTGATCGTAAAAATCGCGGCATTTTAATAAATTATTATCGGAACTCCGTTCCGAATCATAGATTAGATTAGATTCGGAGCGTAGCGTTTTACCTATCACAGTTTTACAACCCGTCGTCATGATTATTTCCTTGTATTTTATTATTTATAAACAGTTTTGGATGACGACGTCTGGTGATATTGATGAATCACGTGTAATAAAGTGATTATTGAAACGATCAAAATAATATACCTAAATAAATAACAATAATACAGTTGAAACCGTTTATAATGAGTAGGTGGTATTCGGTAATAACATTCAAAGGACTAATTAAAATTGGTCGTAACTCATAACAACCAATTGTTATAACAAAAATGATAAAATAAAATTTAAAAACTTGATTATGTATTTTATGTGTATGTATTTATATGAACATAACATTGTATTACATTCAATGTATGAGCGTAATCTCGGGGGTTCATGGGGGTGTATGCATTTTTGTGGAGGCACAATTTTATCATTTTGCACCTACTAAATTTTCTATATTTCAAATAATGTCAAACTATTAAATATTTATAGAGTAATGATAATAACGATAAACAACTCTTCGAAAAGAATTCTTGTTCCTATGTAGAGACTAGGTATAGCACTTTTTCTGAAAGGAAATTTTATCTAGTTGGTTCATTGAGTATATCACTTTTTTTATTTTCGAAATAATTGGAGAAACTCCGAAAAAAAAATTATATGTAAAAGGGCAAATACCTTGGCAAATATTTATGGCAGGTAGCGATGCGGCATTACCGATTTTATTGATTTAAAATTTTGCAAACAATGTTTTCTATCAGATATCTTGTTCCAATTGAAAATTGGCAAAAGATCAATATTATATTTTTAAATATATAACCATTGATTGAGAAAACAGTTTTTTGATATCTTAAATATTTTCACACTAATTGGAAAAAAAACTAAAAAAAGACGAAAAATACGATATTTTTCAAATTACGGCACAACGATTTCATTACTTTAAATTTGTACTGTTTATGTTTTCTACCAAAAATATTCCTCCAATATAAAAACGACAAAAGTCCTTTTTTGTCGAATTTTTGATTGAGTTGGTGACCAAGCAAGTCATTTTTGATTTTCTTTATATTCTTATTTATATTTAAGAAGAAACGAGACATGAAAACTGAAATTTGTTTTAATAAATGAGTAAAAAAAAGTTAGTGTATTTTTTTTTACGAGTTTTAGCATCAAATTTTGACGAAATTATAAATATTACAGTCTCTTTCAAAATATGTAAAACTAAACTTCACTCCAAATTGTTTTTCGTTAGCAATGGTTTACCGTTTTTTACAGGTATAAATTAAATGACTGTATCCTACCTTCCCAACTACCCACCTACAATGATGACCGCATCCATTCCCAGTATATGTTTTTTTTTTTTTTGTACTCTTTGTACGCCATTTATCTATGGTTAATATTAATTAATAATTTATTTATGTTCGTACTATTCATGTTATTACGTGCGTCATCTTACGTCATCTTATTGGCGCGTATAGAAATTATTGCAAATTTCATAATACAAATTTCCTCCCAAATTTCTTTGTTAATTCCTTAGGAACGTTGTAGTCGATCTATAGTATCGAAAAACTTCTTCCAAGAGATTCGTAATATGTTAGGTAGGTAAACAATAATGCCAATAAACCATGATATGTACCTATGAGCAAATCCAGAAGCGGCAAACGTTTCAAAGTTTGATAACAGAGAAATTCAGCGTGTTTGTTTAGCACAATGGCGTAACAATCTCGCTGTTATCAAACTTTACCCACGTCGACAAACGATGTTAGTTCTGTTTGTTCAGTAACCTTGCTGTAACCAAAACTATAGTAGACTTCAAATATTGAAAGGTTAGGTTAGGTTGGAAATTAATCTTCGAGAAATTGTTTTAAACCTTCAATAGCACTAGATCACAGTTTCCATTCACCTTACACAATATCTGGATTATACCTAGTTATATATAGGTACATATCTTTAGTAATAATGAGTGTACCTAAAAATAAATAAATAAAAACTAAAATTTCACTATGACCTTTATGCCATTGTCCAGTTATACCCTTCTCCCTAAATAGGTATGTTATTTAGTCACCCAGTTAAGTTAAAATTTAAACATAGTTGTTTTTGCAGGGTATAATTAATATTGAAACCAATTAAAATAAAAAATACTGAACTGCAATGAATTTAATACTGTGTATGCTGTCTTTTAATGATTGTCCTTATAGTAAATAAATACAATTATTTATGAAATAATTGCATTATTATCTTAACAAAAAATGCATACATAATTATTTTGTACACGGCAATTTTGTACTTAATTTATACATAAATCACAGGAATAAAAATATTTATTTGTTTCATTCATACCTATAAAAAATATATTTCAATTTATCGACTGTTCTTTTATCTTCCCTACACAGAAATTTTAAAATAAAAAAAAGCTATGGTAAACTATTACTTTTATAATAATATTATTTGATTATTTGAAGATGAACAAAATTTAGACAAATATTATCTATTTAGTAAATCCGTATTGTTGTTCTGAGCGTTATATAGTACTGAATGGACGAATCTACAGTGGCTAATTTTCATATTATTGTATTATGCAGATAATGAAAGTGATAATCGCTTATTATTAGTTACTAGTCATCCGTTCAATCATTCAGATCAGTTAATATAATAGACTTAATATAATTTTCTCATTGGCACTACTGAGGAATCTTCATTTAATCCGTTCAGTTCAGTAAAATCAATAAATTAGATTTACTTCCTATAGTAAGAAAAAAAAATCGATTATTTTATAAAAGGAATTTTACTTAAGTGGAACGAGATTCGAAGGATTTTTATTAATTTCTTAGCATTTCTGTTCGAAATTTTCTAACACGGCTTCTAACCAGTTACTGTTAAAAAGTTTTTAGATAAAGATTTATTTTTACCTAACCGATGTTATCTAGGGAATAACATAACCGCGTTCGAGATAACAAAAAAATTACAATTTTATTATTTTTATTATCTCTGGAGATATTCAAGGGGTATATTTTCGTGGGACAGCCCGTATACGAAATACAATTGTT